TCATAGTGTATGATCCTTTTAATGAGGTGTAGATTTGGTTTGCTAATATTTTATTGAGGATCTTCATATTTATGTTCACCATGGATATTGCCCTGTAACTTTCTTTGCCTGGGCTTTTTATTAGGGCAATACTGACCTTATAAAATAAATTTGGGGGACCTCTCTTATGGCCTAGGGATTAAGTCTCAGCAGTATCACACCAAAGGCCTGATTTGGATTTCCCAGCCAAGAGCTGACCCACATGGCACAGGACATGATGTCTCCTTCCTCAGCGGCTACTCCCCTTAACAGTGTATTTCAGTAGTTCCACCTTCTCTAGTGAACCTCTCACCTACCTCTTACCCCACACCTCTGGCCTACACCTCAGATATTCTATGTAATAAAATAAGTTTAGAAACATTCCCTGTTTCTCTGTTTTATGGAAGAGTTTGTCACAGAAACAACTCTTGGGCCATCGTGGTGGTGTTACAGGACACCCCAGTGTGAACTGGGCTGCCTGTCTGTGGGTCCTCACTCACGCGCTTAAAATTTAGTTGTATATCAGACACACACACAAAAGAGTCAATAATGGGTTTATTTACAAAAGGAGAAAGGGAAAGGAACAACCCAGGGAAAGGGAGAGAGCTACAAGGTAACTAGAATATCTTACTGGCTCCACTGACTTGGAGCTCTGGTAACTCACTAACTGATAGCCCCCAGTCACCCGGTCCCCAGCCGTTGCCCCAGCGAGAGAGAGCTGTTGGAAAATTGGTCCCTATTTATCCCCCAAAGTCCCAGAATGCCTGCTTAGCTCCGCCCTTGGGTCCTTACAGTTCTCTCCCTGATACTGCTGGGAGTTGTAGTTTCCAATCTCTGGTAAGGGGGCAGACTCCAGAAAGCTGGAATAGGGGGTGGAGTCCACAAGACTCAGCAGAGTTCCTTTAGGACATCCTTCCCCTTAACAGTGGCACAGGGGTTAAAGTCTTAGTGTTATCGAGTGATCACTAGTCAATGCGACCTGAGTTCCATCCCTGACAGCAGACCTCTCCTGTCCCACCTGCTGCTCCCCTCAGCAGTGTACTTCAGTCAGTCTGCCTGTCCTGCTCCCCGCTCTGTCTCTGTAAATGCTGTCACTCCCTGTACTGTACCTCTGGCCTAACACACTCCAGTTCTGTGTGCATGTATAAATAAAATAAATCTATTTTTTATAAAAACCCGGCCCTCCCTGGTGGCGCAGCGGGTTAAAGCACAGCACTAAGAAGCTTAAGCCACTTCTGTATGAGTTCGATCCCCGCCTGCCCCGGAGGAGATCCACATGGCGAGGCAGACCTCTCCTGACCCGCCCGCTGCTCCCCTCAGCAGTGTACTTCATC